CCTGCTGCTGGGCTTTCAAAGGAAATTAACTAGTCCAGTGGAAAGTTAATACCTTTTTCTGCCATGCACCTACTAGTCTGCCTGCTTTCCATCACTTCTTGCATCCATCCAACACCATAAAGCTCTCCACTGATACTAACCATTTTATTGCGATATTAAATTGTGATATTAAATTTTTGGTGGCTTTATTAGGCCTCCAGAGACTAGGTAAAAGCTGACATCTCCTTTAATCCCATCCTGTAGAAAGCTTTGAAATACTGTTAGTCTGTCCAGATGCTAACCACTAACAAAAAATTAGCCAGACTGCTTTCTTCAGTCACTTAAAACCACAAGGCCTGAGTTTGAAGCTAAGAGGAAAACATTTCTTAAGGTTCAGTCAAGTGAAAAAGGGGTTTGCTTAAGCATAGGCAAAAATGCCACTGAAAGAGTTGTTCTGCATAAAAATGGCAAGAATTACTTATGGAGTTGATGATTTAGCTACATGAATGCAACTGATTGTCTTGAAGGACTCTCCTATCTTTGCAGTAGATCTATTTACCATATATCACTGTAGTCTGCATCCAGGTTAACACTTTTCCTTGCAATCGCACAGACTAAACTGAATATTTTTATTCCTGTAACTATAACAAAAAAATTATGGGCTTAAACAAGTTTGTTAAAAGATATTCAGAGACTTTGTAGATCTATTCACCATAATATCACTGTAGTTTGCATCCAGGTTAACAGTTTTCCTTGCGATTGCACAGACTAAACTGAATATTTTGATTCCTGTAACTATAATTAAAAAATTATGGGCTTAAACAAGTTTGTTAAAATTGCTTCTTCTAACATGGTGAACTCTTACCTTTTTCTCTACAAGGCTAACTACAAAGCAGACTGGAAAAAAACCATTGCCAAAGGATATGATCTGAAACCAGATGCCATTCCCATCATTGCTGCTAAAGCTTCTCGAAATATTGCAAGTGATGTAAGTATAATTTACACAAAGTGGGATACATACAACTACTGCATTACAGCTTTCCCTAACATCTTATGCTCTACACATATAATGATTTAGAGACACTTTGAGAATTGAAACTCTCATGATACTGTGAAATTACAAATGAATTCAGATGTTTATATGAACCTCCAAATAAACCTGTTGGTTTGGAAATGCATCGTATTGTGGGTGCTGGTGAACTGGGGCTGTTTGTTGGATCCACCAGCTTATTTGAAAGTTCCTTTGTTATAATTTAGCTATGCTGTGTTCTTAATTGCTGGAGACCTGTACTGCTGCTTCTCTAGCATTCGTGAGCTGGACAGAAATGTCACTGTTTTCAGGTAGCTCTGTCAACTGGCAACAGTAAAGCTTGACACAAACTATGAAAGGAGATTTGAAACACAGAAATAAATTCATTCACTTTAGCAAAAGGCTGCAAATGACTTCCACTCCCCACCTAAACATGCCTTTCCCCAGTAGCTGAATATTGGGATATCCAGTTGTTTGGTAGTCTTAGGCTTTTCAATAATATATTATTATGCTAATCTTTTAATTAAAAGCTGAATGTTCCTGTGAGTTAGATGTCTATGGCAGTAAAATACAATATGGCAGAAGCAATGGTGAGGGAGGGTATGTAATTGCATATCTAGGTTTAGACCTATACCAGCAATAATCCTGTGCTGGCTGGAAAACAATCCATGAGGTTATAGAATGAACAGCAGTTGCTAAAATATTGAGTTTCAAAGTATTAAAAATATCAAAAGTACCTTTTCTCAGCTTTCTTTTCCTTTGTCTCTAGTACAAGTACAAGGAATCATATGAGAAAGAAAAAGGCAAACAGGTTGGATACCGGAGCCTGCATGATGATCCTAAACTTGTTCATTACATGAATGTAGCCAAAATGCAATCAGATCGTGAATATAAGAAGAATTATGAAGACACCAAGACCAGATATCACACTCCTTTGGATATGTTCAGCGTGACAGCTGCCAAGAAAGCCCAGGAAGCAGTTACAAACGCAGGCTACAAACAACTAATTCACAATTACACACTCTTGCCTGATGCTGTGAATCTGGAGCTATCAAGAAATGTGATGCAGCTTCAGAGTGACGTATGTAATGATTAATCAGATAATTTTTTTCTTCTCAAAATGACTGCATTACACTAGTAACCTTTTAAGGCTAAAAAATGAATTATGTTGGATTAATAGTAGATTGAGGTGTAAATGTCTGGTCTGGAACCCTGCATTTTCCAAAGATTATCAGAATTATGTGTAGTTGATAAATTCTAGGGGACTTCTCTAGCAAGTAACAACTTTCTTTGTACCTCAACTTATTTGGCTAATTCTCAGCGAAGGAACGTGTTTTTCTAATTTGTTTATTTTTGTAGTGGGATTTGTAACTACAATGATTTATTTCTGTGGTAATTATTTATATTGTTAGAGATCATGGGATATTTACAGAGTCTAAATTCTGACTACATTTTATTTAAGTTTACTGAAAATATACTTTATGTATGTTTGTATTATACCTGGGGATTTGAAATTTACTTATTTAGTTTGGTTTTCCTTCCTGCCTTTATCTTCCAACAGATGCATATACTATGCATGATAAAGATTCAAAAAAATCCTTGGTAGTTTCCATTGAGTTCTGCGACTCATTTCCATTTTTTTTTCACCAGTGTAACTTTAGGGTCTGCTTGTTTATCCAGAAAGTTTTTAGTTTAATCCACATTATTTAACAATCCTCTGACAAATCTGAAATTCCCCAGAATGTTAATAATCTGATTGAAAGTGTTCTTTCAGATTCTAAACATTGTTTGGAGAGGATGAAATGTACATTCCCACTGGCCAACAGACAGAGGATCTGACCTTTAGACACTGGTCTTTTCAAATACAGAGATTTTCATCTCAACTTTTTTGCTTCCCCATTTTATTTTTACACAGCCTTGCAGAGCTGGCTGAGCTTGCTTGGCTGTCTAACTCAGGATGTTTGCAAGGAGAAAAGCCTGATACTTGAGGACAAATTGTTCCCTCTATACACATGATATGAAAGGATGTGATCTTTTTCTCAGACTCTGATGTTCTCCCTGTTACTTCTAACACAGCAGTTCAGTTTTATTTTCATAGCATTTTTGTACCTTTATCTGTTCTAAAAGCCATGTTATAAAGCATGATTAAAAAGAAATGGTGTCTAGTCAAGATTGTGCAGAACCAGGCAATTAAGCAGAAGTTGTTCAAACAATTTCTGTGAATTAATTCTGCTGTGAACTGAATCTACTAACAAATGACTGTCATTTTGAAAATCTGACAAAAACATAATAATTTCTTTATTTACCACTCAAAATTTGTTCTAAGGTTTGTGCATTTGATTTGTAGTGTAATTTCCACCTATTCGTTTAGTGAAAAGCATTTCTTCATCCCCAAGACGTCAATAGTTGTTAATGTTATGCTGAGAATTTGGAAAAGAGTAACAGTTATAACAGGCTTGTCTAAATTTTCCTTCAAAACTGAATGACCAGGAGAAATTCTAAGGTCTTACCTGTTTTTATATATATGGGCGTTATAATTTTCCTTGTCTCACTGGTTTTTTCCTTGTTCATCTTTTTAAAAGAATTTATACAAAGCAGACTTTAATAACTGGTTGAGAGGAGTTGGCTGGATACCAATTCAGTCACTGGATGTAGAAAAGGCCAAAAAAGCTACAGAGATTCTCAGTGAGAAGAAGTATCGCCAGCACCCAGACAAGCTGAAGTATTCTATCCCAATGGATGCGATGGAACAAGTGCTAGCTAAGCAAAATGCCAAGACCATGAATAAGGTGAGAATTCGTTCAGATGATCCTGACTGAGCCAGGGATTGGGTTTTTGTCTTGCAAAATTGTGGGGCAGGTGCTTTCCCACTAAAGGAACTAGAATTTCAACTGGGTATAGTGGTTCACTTGGTTAAGACTGGACACTATGAGATGATGGAAGCCTCAGACTGTATTCACCATGAAGGGATTTTAATTTTCTGTTTGTAAAGATTAAAGATTTCTCTTCAGTTTATGTGATTCTGCAGATTTATAGTGCTTTGGTGGCCTTTACTATTTTCTGCAGGAAGTAGTATTCATAATCATTGAGTTGAAAAAAGCCCCAAATTCTGTTAGTTTTGTATGAGTTTCCTTGGAAAATGGCATTCTTTAAATTTGTCCCTAGTTATCTGGGACACCACTGATCTTTAGTCCATGTTTGCCATGGAAAGAGGGTCTGTGAGAAAAAAATTATATATATATATATATATATGCTTTGCATTAAAACAGGGAAGAATGCAGACTGAAATTTTCAGTTTCAATATTTATTAATTAACAAAACATCCTTTGCAAATGTCTCAAAGTACTAAAGAAAGAAGAGGACTATAACATTGCCACTTGGCAGTTATATTTGTGCAGATTATTTGTAGTGCTTATGGAACTTTACTGTCCTGTAAAATACTATTTACTGCAAATAAGCAATAAAAAAGCAAGCTCTTATTATATGAGCGCAATGCCTTTTCAATGCTAAATATCTACTTTGTAATTGCAGAAGCTCTACACCGATAAATGGAACAAAGAGAAGACCAGCATTCATGTTATGCCAGATACTCCAGAAATCCTGCAGTCTAAAGTGAACCAGATCACAATGAGTAACGTGAGTTACCATGCTCACAGTGGGCATTCAGTGTCTGCTGCATAGATCAAAAATTGCTGTCATTCTTATCTCTTTTCTGAAAATATTTAAATTGAGATGTAGGGTACTTCAGTAGTTCTGCCTACATAATAAAGTATCTGTTCTCTTTTACATTTTGGATTAGAAACTTTACAAAGCTGAATGGGAGGAAGCCAAGAAGAAAGGTTATGACATGCAACCAGATGCTATTCCCATAAAAGCAGCCAAAGCCTCCAGAGACATTGCAAGTGATGTAAGTTTGATTGCGTGACAGTACTCAGAGTAGCTACAAAGACAGGACATTTTCAAAGTGCTCTGTTATGTGCAAATCTGTTTTTTCAAGCATCTTGAGTTGTCTAAGTTTCAATTATATTGGTGGATAAACCTTTACAGTACTTGCTCTCCAGTGGAATTAAACTGAATTGTGCTTTTTTGCTCTTTGTTCAGCAAGCTGCTGAGCTTCATGTGCTCGTGTTCAACGGGCTACTTTGTACCACTGAGTACATTTAAATGACTAAACCTGAGATCTTGTGATGAAAAAGAACAAATATTTTCAGAGATAAAATTGATCTTAATAGTGCATTTTATAATTTAATTTTTTGCTGTTCTTTCTCTTTCCTCCTGTCAGTATAAATACAAACTAGCCTACGAAAAAGAGAAAGGAAAGCATATCGGGTTCCGCAGTCTTGAAGATGACCCCAAGCTGGTGCACTTCATGCAGGTGGCTAAGATGCAATCTGATCGTGAATACAAAAAAGGTTATGAGAAGGCAAAGACTAATTTCCATACTCCAGTTGACATGGTCAGTGTTGTGGCAGCCAAGAAAGCACAAGAAGTTGCTACAAACGCAAACTACAAAACCTTGATCCATACCTACAATGTTTTGCCCGACGCCATGAGTCTTGAATTAGCTAAAAACATGATGCAGATACAAAGTGATGTAAGTGTGGAATTCTTCAGCCTTTGCGTTACAAATACAATGAGGCTTAGTTTATGGGAGTCTACTGTAAGAAAAATAGTAATATTTTCTTAGTGAATTTAGGTCAGTTATATACTAAAATCATAGAATCATAGAATGGTTAGGATTGGAAGGGACCTTAAAGCTCATCCAGTTCCAACCCCCCTGCCAGCCGCAGGGACACCTTCCACTAGACCAGGTTGCTCAAAGCCTCATCCAACCTGGCCTTCAACACTTCCAGGGAGGAGCAGCCACAGCTTCTCTGGCCAACCTGTTCCAGTGTCTCACCACCCTCACAGTGAAGAACTTCTTCCTCATATCTAATCTAAACCTGCCCTCTTTCAGCTTAAACCCATTTCCCCTTGTTTTGTCATTAACTGCCCTTATGAAAAGTCCTTCCCCAGCTTTCTTGTAGCCCCTTCAGGTACTGGGAGGCCACTAGAAGGTCTCCCCGGAGCCTTCTCTTCTCCAGGCTGAACAGCCCCAACTCTCTCAGCCTGTCCTCACAGCAGAGCTGCTCCAGCCCTCGGATCATCCTGGTGGCCTCCTCTGGACTTGTTCTAATGTAGTAAATGAAAGGAGACCCTCAGCAATGATTGTCATTGTATTTTCCTAAGCCTCTGAAATATTAAATTACACCTATTCTTAAATAATTTGGGCTCAGAAATAAGTCATTTTATGTATAAACTAAAATGGATATTTACCACTTACACGTCCCATACTCGTGTGCAGGCCAAGACAGGAAAAGCTTTACTTTTCATTAATAATTTTAGCTTGTACTTCCAAAAAGATGTTTTTTCAGAAGAAAGGGAAACCAGCTAAGTAGCTATTCTCAGATTTTCTGACATGTTTAACCTTTAGAGAACAGGGCCTTTTTTTTTTTTTTTCAGTATAGAGGTTCAAGATAATCCTGTCCTTCAAGAGGGCCTTAGCATGTAATCTCATGTGAGCAACCTATGTCCATCATAAGGAGGTTCTAAATACTGAAAGGCAGAGCAATAAAATAGACACCAGTATATCAAACAGGTTTCTAAATAAACCTTGAATGGTATTGTTTGCCTCTTTTTAGAATAAGTGCTTTCAAACTCTAATATTAACTGAAATAAAACACAGAAAGAAGTGTCATGATTTACCAGCTTTTTCATGCATCTGATGATTTTCTTTTCTTTCTGCTTCCAGAATCAATACAGAGCAGACTATGATGAAAGTATGAAGGGTGTTGGATGGATGCCACTGGGCTCCCTGGAAGCTGAGAAGAACAAGAAAGCAATGGAAATTGTTAGTGAAAAGAAGTATCGCCAGCATCCAGACAAGTTGAAGTATTCTGTTCCTATGGATTCCATGAACATGGTTTTAGCTTTAAATAATGCTAAAATCATGGATGAGGTAAGAAAGTGTTCATCAAAATTCACTTAAGTTTGCAGAAGTAAGAGATGTAATAGTCAATCTTATTGTATGCACAGCTTTGGAAATCATCATTTTTGGCAGCTAATGAATATGCTTGACTGTAATTATCCTAATAGATCTTTGATATACCTGAAAGCAAAGCATGGCCCTAATATTTCTAAGAAATATGTACAAAGATAGACCTAGGGATCACATTTCATTAATAAAGCTTACCCAAGATAACTAAATATAGACTTTTAACAGTTTAAATCTAGGGGCTAAAAATACTGGAGTGATCCCTTTTGGGAATAAGATTTAGACTTTTAAACGTACAGCCTGTTTCATCCAGTGCCTGTTACACTAATATGAAATTGCTGCATGATGTGAGTGTTTTTATAATGAGATATTTATTTTCTGATCCTCCTGTTGAACTGATGTAATCTGCTGGTGTTGTTTAGAAATGTCTGGAGTCCGTGTACATTGCAGTTACAGGGCCCATCAGAATCTTATGTGTACTCTCCTTACCTCTATTTCCTCTAAGTAAAGCTCTAGTAACTCTCTCAACTGACACTTGTTTTCCAGGAGATAAACTAATAATCTTCCACCTCTAACAATTTATTGTTTATACCTTCTGTTGGCTTTTAGTAGTGGGTGAACCTCAGTAGGCAGCTAAGCACTGTACAGCCACTCACTCACTGTACAGCCACTCACTCACTCCCTCACCCTCAGTGGGATGTGGGAAGAGGAAAGGCATAGGAAAAGCAAGAAAACTTGTAGGTCAAGATAAAAAACGTTTAATAAGCAAAAGAGAAGTGGAAGAAGAGAGAAAGAAAATAAACCAAGTGATGCAAAAGCAATCACTCGCCACCTCCCACAGGTGGACGGATGCCCAGACAGCTCCAGAGCAAGAGATGTCAAACCTCCCTAAAACCCTCCTCTCCCTTTTTATTTGCTGAGCCTGCTGATACATGGCATGGAGTATATCTTTGGTTAGCTGAGTTCATCTGTCTGGTTATGTCTCACCACAACCTCTTCTACACGCACCAGTCTATTCACTGCAGGGGCAGAAAGAAATAGAGAAGGCCTTGATACTGTGCAAACACTGTTCAACCACAGCTAAAACATGAGTGTGTTATCAGCCTTGTTTTAACCACAAATCCAAAGCACAGCACTGTTCGAGCTGCTACGAAGAGGGTTGACTCCATCCCAGCCAGACCCAGTACATTTTGAATCCTCTTGTTTTCTTCTGTTTAATGTGCTTGAATACACTGCTGAGCAAGAGACAAGGAGTAAAATATTCCAGCAAGATTCAGATTTCTCCCACTGTTATTTCAGCCTCACACAATTAACTTCATAAAAGCTATTTCTCATTCACACTGCTGTTAAGTGCTAAAATAAAAAGACAAATGTTCCTACCATGTTAGCAGTTGCATCATTGTAAAGAAATTATATTTCAAATAGGAAATATTCTTTTAAATAGTTTTATTTAATTTTTTGGTTATGTTGACATCTCTTTTTTTCTGTCCTTCCAGCACAAGTACAAACAAGCATGGGAAGAAGACAAAAAGAAAGTTCACATGACACCAGATATTCCACAAATTGCTTTAGCAAAAGTTAATGCATTTAATTTAAGTGATGTGAGTACTGTTTGTGAGATTAAGATGCTGCTATTTATTTATTTATTTTTTAATTAGGAATAAGTGAGATGACAGCATATGAAAGTCTCCCTAATTCTCACTTTGCTAACATGTAGTAATTTAACAAAAACCTATTAATTTTCCTTTTCCCCACTTCCTTCCCCAAAACTAAATAGCAAAAGTTGCCAAGAAAAAGCCATAGTATTTATAGTCAGATTATGATCTGTCCATGTAGGTCATTAAAATACACTAGTTACTAACAAAATAGTAGAGTTTGAGTTCTATCCATGTTTGTTACTGTATTTATTATTTCATTTCCCCATGCATGAAGGTTTGTTTCTTTCTTGCATATTGAACCTATTCTTTCAGTAACAGATGATATTATAGACAGTTTTTCAGTAGCCAGTTGTTAAATCTGCATATGCTAAATAAAGCATTGTTTGTAATTGTGCACATTTTGAATGTGCACAGAAATAGACATATTTATCTCATTTTTTTTTAAAGTTAATATCCTTATAGGTGTAAATTTTCACCAATATTTGTGCATGTGGGAAACAAATACAATTTTTTCCTCATTTTTATAGGTTATTGTTACTGATTATAGTGCAGTCCAGCTGCACTGATGTAGGAATACTAGGATTGAAGTAAATTTTGAAGGGGTATTAATTTCTCTGTATGCCTGAGTGCCTTAAACAACTATTTAAGGAGTGTTAAACATATGATTAGTCTGTTTCAAGTTATCATATAAGATGAATAGAGTTTAATTTAAGTAAATGTGATATGTTTTGCTTTTTTAAAAGATGTTTCTTTTCCTTCTTTTTCATAGAAAATGTACAGACTCTCATTTGAAGAAGCTAGGAAGAAAGGATATGATCTCAGAGCTGATGCTATCCCTATTAAAGCTGCCAAAGCTTCTAGGGATATTGCTAGTGATGTAAGTTCTTGAAAGAAAAAATTATCCATTTCAGATATTGTAAAACATTCAATTTCTTGACACAATTCAATTTTATATGCCAATTATATGAAATCTCTTTATTCTCTTGCTTGTAAATAACTCTGACATATCCAAGATATATTTTAATGTATTTTCTACTAGAGTTAAAGAATAAATTTCTTTATTAGAAAGGTAAGGAGATATGTGAGGGACTCAGAAAAAAATATTAATTCCTCATTGTGATGGTGCTTGGTTACTTTATAAATGTATGTTGTATATTTGTAGTTTAGACAATATTCAGAGTTCATTATTAGAAATATTTGAGAACAGATACGGATTTAAACCATTTTTACTGCTGTCACACAGTTATCTTTTTTTCCTTTGGTGAAAGTCCCATTGAATTTCTTGATGCAGAGGATACAAGCTTCTGGAATCAGGACCACTCTGAAATCCTTTGTGTATCAGTCATGAGAGATTTGCTGTGGCAAGGGCAAATCCAGCCTGAGAGGGGTGAAGTCAGGGTCTAAGAATATGTTATTTAGCCCATTTTTGCTAATATAGGGGATATTGCAGCCACTGCAAAGTCAATTTGCTCTGCCAGTGCTCTAAGTCTGAGGGGAAGATACTTCCATTCTGAGTTCTCTCCAAGCAGTAAGCACTGAAGGAAAAAGGAATTAATACTTGGTCTGTGTAGTTCACTGTCCAGGGTCGATTAGAGACTGAGGAAGGGGGTTAAGAATTTGAACTATTGGTTTTATTAAACAAAAAAATGCAAAAGATCTTGGGAAGTGTCTTGAATTTTTTAATCATTTGGACAAGTCAACCTAATGGAGGTGATGATTAGATCTTTGATTTTATCGTTAGTCTTTAAATATGAACTCAAGTATTCTAAGCATGGTGCAGACTATCAAGCCAAATATTGGAAGCAGGATAGCAATAGTAAGAGAGAATTGTGTGGGTTAAAGTACCCTGTTTCATGTATTTGTGATCACTTCTCTTAGAACTAACATGGGTATCTCTACATTATAGTGTGAAAAGAATAGAGAGTGCACTTTTTCCAAACAACTGTCTTCAGCAAACCAAATCTTACCTGTTGCTTTCACTTTTGCTTTCTGTCAGTATGTTCCATATTTTCATTGTGTCATTTATAATGAGGTTAGAAAGCAATTGAACCCCAGGTTACATTGAACCTTACGCAGGAGCAGAATAAGGAAATTTAAGGAAAGGAAATGGTAAGGAAATTGTTGTAAGGAAATTTCATTTCTTAAGAAAATGTTTAAAATGTAGTGCTTTTGAAAGGGATGCTAGACATCTGTTCTAATTTAGAGTGTACCCTAAGAGTAGGTGGACAAAGCTACAACCTCTCTATGCTTTGTGACTTTTTTTTTACAATGTAAAAAAATCTTATTTTAGTCTAAGTTTTTTTTGTTTGTTTGTTTGTTTTTCTCACAAGGTAGATATTGCTTATTAAACAAATGAATTAGAATTAAAGTCTCTATCTCTTGTTCTCTTTACAGTATAAATACAAATTAGGTTATGAACAAGACAAGGGAAAACTTGTGGGCTTCCGCAGCCTTCAGGATGATCCCAAACTCGTCCATTATATGCAAGTGGCTAAGATGCAGTCCGATCGCGAATACAAAAAGGCTTATGAGATGAGCAAGACACATTATCAAACACCTTCTGACGCGCTCAGCATCGTGGCAGCTAAGGAGGCACAGGATCGTGTAACCAATACTAACTACAAACGACTGATTCACCAGTATATGCTTCTACCAGATGCAATGAGTTTAGAACTGTACAGGAACATGAATCAGATACAAAGTGACGTAAGTTCCTGTTTTCTTTCTGTCATTCACAGCTGTGACTTTTTTCCCTCTTTTTTTTTTTTTTTTTTCATTATGGTTGTGTTTTGGCAACAATAGAATTGTTTTGTATGAGCCATTTGTAAACTTGGGTGTTGTGTTTGGCAGAATGAGTACAAGCAGGATTACAACGAGTGGTTCAAGGGTATCGGCTGGAGTCCTGCTGGTTCTCTGGATGTGGAGAAATCAAAGAAAGCCACAGAAATTGCAAGTGATCGGAAATACCGCCAGCATCCCAGTATGTTCCCCTTTACAAAACAGAACGATGACATGGACATGGTCCTTGCAAAACAGAATGCAAATATAATGAACAAAGTGAGTATTTATGGGGAAAACTAGGCAAACATTTACAAATAATCCATTTCAATAAACAGTCTATAAGTTTCTGCCCCCATCTTTATGTAGCAGTATTTCCCTGGGAAAACAACTGTCACTTATAGATTCCACTTTTACACCTTTTTTTCTTAATTATTCACTCAGTTACTCATAAATAACATTGGTTAAATAAATCTTTTCTCTTTTTCCTCATCGCTACCTCTCCAACCTCTATTCTTCTCATTCGTGTATAGAAATTACTGACCCTGAAAATCTTGATATTAGGACTTAATTAGAAGTGAGAACAGATCCTAATCCAGCTGAGTCTGGATTAGGTCATTGCATAGTAAAATAAATCTAAGTTAGCACCTTGGTCTTTTTACCCATCCGTTTCCAAAGTGCACTGATGGAAAGATGAAAACCCCAAAAGATCCTTTCTTTGTAGTTTGTATTAACACATCTGATGTTACTTTTTCCAACAGCATGCTTATACTCAAGCTTGGGAGAAGGATAAAACACAGGTTCATGTGATGCCAGATACACCAGATATTCTACAGGCAAAACAGAACAAGACGAACTACAGCCAGGTAGAGTTTTCTAATATTTCCTATCACATTTTAAAATAATATCCACTTTCTTCAGATTTAAAGGTGCCTCCCATTTCAAAATAAGTTATTAATTTGTATAAATTAGGAGATATTAATTTGTATAAATTAGGAGAAACAGAATCAGGGATTTAGAACAGAGGCAAGAATTTTTTTGCGTGTAATATTTTCAGAGTAGCGATAAGTACCATCTTCAGGCTAGCAAAGTAATAGCCTAAATTACATTATTATGTATGGAAAATATAAGTCCTATTTTTGAAATCTGGATGTGCATGGTCCATACTTTATGCTTACCATAGAAATCAATCATGTTAAAAATTCTTTACTCTAAAATGACATGTTCTGTGTGTATATGAAATAGAAGTACATGCAGTGAATCTAACTTTTCTATCAGCTATTAAATACGAGAAAATGACAAGTATGCCAGTACAAAATACTAAAATTTTACTTTGCATGATTACTCAGAGGCAAATCTTTGACTTGTGAGTGCTGGTACTTAAAATTAATGGTGAACAAACTGAATTGACTAATAAATGACTACATTAAAGCCTTATTAATTAAAAATCTGTTAAGCCAATTGAAAAGTTTTCAGTGATCCCAGATGTATATTTCAGGTTCCTCAGTTATGTTTCAAATCCCCAAGATAGACTGTAGTAGGAAGCTGCTGCAGTAAAGAAAAACTATTTAGTCACTAGCCTAAGACTTGGAAGATCTGCGTTCCTTGTTTATCAATTTCCCATTTCTCAATTCCCACTCTAGTAGCCCCTTCTCTTGTAAGTGAAGCCTGTGAGGTGACCAGAATTTGGTAATCATAGAATGAATCATAGAATGGTTAGGATTGGAAGGGACCTTAAAGCTCATCCAGTCCCACCCCCCCTGCCAGCAGCGGGGACACCTTCCACTAGACCAGGTTGCTCAAAGCCTCATCCAACCTGGCCGAGAACACTTCCAGGGAGGAGCAGCCACAGCTTCTCTGGGCAGCCTGGGACACTGTCTCACCACCCTCACAGTGAAGAACTTCTTCCTAATATCTCATCTAAACCTCCCCTCTTTCAGCTTAAACCCATTTCCCCTTGTTTTGTCATTAACTGCCCTTATGAAAAGTCCTTCCCCACCTTCCTGGAGCCCCTTCAGGTACTGGGAGGCCACTAGAAGGTCTCCCTGGAGCCTTCTCTTTTTCAGGCTGAACAGCCCCAAATCTTTCAGCCTGTCTTCACAGGAGATGTGCTCCAGCCCTTGGATCATCCTGGTGATCCAAGTAATGTGGATCCTTAGCATATCTAAATAGCTGTCATACATATTACTAAAAAAAATTTAATTAATATTGTTCTTAATTTTAGAAACTATACAAACTTGGCTGGGAGGAAATGATAAAGAAAGGCTATGACCTCACACCTGAAGCCATTTCGGTGAAAGCTGCCAAAGCTTCAAGGGACATTGCAAGTGACGTAAGCAACATTTCTAACTCAACATGGCATACACTTGATCTAGTTGCTATAACCCTCAGGATCACACTAGATTGAGATACAGTTCTCTGCTAAGGTGGGGCTTGGAGTACAAAGCAATATTGCTCACAAAACTCTTTCCTGATCTGCTCTTGTCGGTCAAGAAAACAATTTAAGAAGAGTTGCTCTGGCATCTTGACAATTCCAAAGATTGTGGTCCATCCATGAAGTAGCTAGTCATGCAAAGTTAGGAGTTTTCTACTCTTTTGAATGTTACATTTTCAGAGCAGCAGCAAATTTGGTCCAGTTAGCTGATCCCAGTGCCTATACTGAGAAATCCTCTTAGCAGATCTGAAATAGACATGGTGACACACATATTGCTGTTACCATAACTTGGTGTGAATGCAACTCCAGCATTTACGGGAGAGATTTTATTAATCATTAGGAAATATTTCCAATGCTTAACATCTGCATTTTAAATTGTTGATTATTTTATTAATCAAAATATTTCAACCTTTGGGAGTTCTGAACAATATGACTGTATGAACCAGGTGGCACAGGAGACTGTTCCTACAGCCACACACTCTTCCTCTCCAGGGACTCTGTTCATTCCCAGGGAGAGCATTCACTGACACCAAGTGATGCACATTAATCAAGGGGGTACTAAACCTTTACATCAGATGGTCATTTCATTGGTAATGAGAAGCATTGAACTGTGTGAATATGTTGATACTTTGCTTATCTATTTTACCACTGTATGTTTCTTACTGTAATTTCATTAATGCAATCTTTATAATTTTAGTACAAGTACAAAGAAGGTTACCGCAAGCAGCAGGGACACCACATTGGATTCCGCAGCTTGCAGGATGATCCTAAGATGCGGTGGTCTATGCAAGTAGCTAAGATGCAGAGTGAGAGGGAATACAAGAAAGATTTTGAAAAGTGGAAGACAAAGTTTAATATGCCTGTGGATATGTTAGGCTTCCTTCTGGCTAAGAAATGTCAGGAGTTGGTTAGTGACATAGACTACAAACGGATACTGCACCGCTGGACTTGTCTGCCAGATCAGAATGATGTCACCCAGGCAAAGAGGGTCTACGAACTACAGAGTGATGTAAGCTTCCTCTGCATTTAATGAATTCATTTTTTTGTAAGATATTTACTGCTTATTGAAAAGTAAAAAGTATCTTCAATGACTCTTTTATTGTCAGTATAGATCAGACTGAAACTAAAATAGTAGTTAATCTTTTAATATGGTTTAAGAAATGACAAAGGAAATAATCTAGTACGGTTTTTTATGTCTTTTCCTTAACAGAACCTGTATAAGTCAGATCTACAGTGGCTCAGAGGCCTGGGATGGAGTCCTTTGGGATCTTTGGAATCTGAGAAGAACAAGAAAGCTTCTGAAATACTGAGTGAAAAGAAGTACCGGCAGCACCCAGATACTATTAAGTTCACGAGTATCCCCGATGCCATGGATATCGTTTTAGCAAAATCAAATGCCAAAAATAGAAGTGATGTAAGTTGCTTCTAGAGACAGAACGTGTGATTCAAAACATGAATACATTAGAATACATTTGTTAAAAAGGTCTCCCTATCAGAAATGTGCTTCAAATACACAAATGTCAGATGTTTACAAGCAGTGTCTTACTGCTCAGTTGTCAAGAAGTGCTATGCCTGGTTCAGAAGATCAAGGTCTTTAGTGCTGCATAAATTATTAATCAATAACTGCAAATAAGACACTCACTATATAGTATGTAAATATATTGACTATGTAGTATGTAAATATATTGACTATGTAGTATGTAAATATGTTGTCATAATGCTTTTTCCTTGACATTTCATGGATGTGAAGAAGAAAAAAAGCTGGTATTTCTGTAAGAATCACAGAATCATAGAATGGTTAGGATTGGAAGGGACCTTAAAGATCATCCAGTCCCAACCGCCCTGCCAGCAGCAGGGACACCTTCCACTAGACCAGGTTGCTCAAAGCCTCATCCAGCCTGGCCGAGAACACTTCCAGGGAGGAGCAGCCACAACTTCCTTGGGCAACCTGTTCCAGTGTCTGACCACCCTCACAGTGAAGAACTTCTTCCTAATATCTCATCTAAACCTCCCCTCTTTCAGCTTAAACCCATTTCCCCTTGTTTTGTCATTAACTGCCCTTATGAAAAGTCCTTCCCCAGCTTTCTTGTAGCCCCTTCAGGTACTGGGAGGCCACTAGAAGGTCTCCCTGGAGCCTTCTCTTCTCCAGGCTGAACAGCCCCAACTCTCTCAGCCTGTCTTCATAGGAGAGGTGCTCCAGCCCTCGCATCATCCTGGTGGCCTCCTCTGGACTTGTTCTAGCTGCTAAGTCTTTATATGATTTGATTTTAATATCTCATGTTGTTTACATCAGTCCTGCTTGCATAGTGAATCTTTGCTCTGCTGTTGTAGAGAAAAGCTAAGCTGAATTTACCACTACGTCTGTGAGGCTTTTATCAGACAAGGTATTTTTGTTTGTGTCTCTTTTCAGAGACTGTACAGAGAAGCTTGGGACAAGGACAAAACTCAGGTTCACATCATGCCTGATACTCCTGAAATTTTGCTGGCCAAATCAAACGTAATTAACGCAAGTGATGTAAGTGTGTCTTTACAATGTTTCTTTTCTGGAATTTGGAATGACCCGTTGTGGCTTTAGTTTAAAAAGCAGTAGAATAATTCTGTAATTCTAACAGCTGTAAGCACACCTGTGATCTTTTCCTGTGAAAATTGTTATGCACTGAGAAGTCCTAATGGAACTGCTAAAATATAAAGTGGAAGTGGAATTGTTAAAATATAAAAACTACCAAGAAAATATTCAACACAAGTTAACAGTTTTCTCTTTCATCACTACTGATCATATTAACATTGTAGATGTGTTCAGCATTTTTTTAGTAAGCCTGTCATTCTTGTTAAAATGTCTGATTATCTTGAATTGCCTCTTAGTATTACATAGAACTATGTATTTTACATTAAATTCCTGTTTAGAATGGAGCAAATACAGACTACATGTAAAGATATAGAAATATTAGCAGCTCTATCAGAAGAACTCAAGAAGGCAAAACTAATTGCATTTGAACTTGGGTGTAGAGAATCATAGAGCTGTATTTGTATTATTCACCTCTGTAGGAGACTATGAATCATTTAGATTAGTATGTTAAGAAAATTTTTATCTCACGTTAATGAGTTAATCAGAAAACACACAATAATTTTAAGCTATAGTAGAACTTAACTTACAAAGTACACATTATTAAAAGTAAGCTATGGAATTATTGATGAATGAAACTGTGTTTGGAATCTCATACTTCATTTTCAATAATCAGGGGAGGAAAGTTGTACTGTTGAAAAACTCTCCAGAGATCTTTCTTGGCAATAGTTAATTTGAATCCTTCTCCAACAGAAACACTACAAGTTAGGATATGAAGAGCTGAAGAGGAAGGGCTATGATCTTCCTCCTGATGCTATACCCATCAAGTCAGCAAAGGCATCCAGAGACATAGCTAGTGAGGTAAGTCCTGTGGAGTGGAAAAAAAAGTGGGGCATAGAGCTGGTACACAATTTTGGACAAAGATATTTTTAATTTAAAAGACAGAGAGAGGTCTATTCTCTAACATTCTTATACTGATGCCCTCCCCAGGGGTTTTATAATTCTCAATGCTGTAAAATTAATTAAATAAAATAATGTGAGATAGTATATCAGTTACTGTCTTCTGGACATTTTATAAAAACACTAGCAGTATGGAAAAATATATAAAAAATATTAACTGCTATATTAACAACACAGAAATTTAAATTGCAGCTTGAAAAGAGGTAATAATTGTTGTTTCTGCATTGAATTAGTACAAGTACAAAACTGCATACCGAAAGCAGCTTGGCCACCACATAGGAGCCCGTAACATAGAGGATGATCCGAAGATGATGTGGTCCATGCACGTAGCCAAGATCCAGAGTGACAGGGAGTACAAGAAAGCCTTTGAGAAGACAAAGACACACTTCAGTAGCCCAGTGGACATGCTGGGAATTGTGTTGGCCAAGAAATGTCAAGGGTTGGTCAGCGATGTTGATTACCGTCACTATCTGCATCAGTGGATCTGCCTACCAGACCAGAATGATGTGATCCATGCTAAGAAGGCCTATGATCTGCAGAGTGATGTGAGTACTTGCTGATTTGTGTTGGAGTTCCAAAGTATATTTAATTTCCTTGAAATACAAACTTTAGAAACTGCTCAAACTGTCAATCTCAGATAGTGTTTTTTCACATTGTGTACGATCTTGCTGAGAGTTGGTATCATGAACAGGCAGGGATGAGGCTTCTCTGGTGTCATACTTTTTAAAAACAGAAAAGTCCTGTGTTGCCTTGAGCATTTTGTGGAGAGGGTTGTGGCAGGTGGTTGGAGTTGTATATAGAAGGGAAGGGCAACAGAGACAAATATTTTATATTGGAGGAGAAACAGTGGGCAAAGGCACACCATGTGTGCAGTGAGGAATGGTAGGAAGAG